GTCATCCACGCATGCCTCCCACTGCAGTGCCAAGCCAACATAGAGCCATCACCAAATACTTCTAGAAGCTATCATCATCTTGCCATCTCAGCAAATGTGACTGGATCAAAACTAAAGTCAGCAAAAACTTTATAAGTTTACCTAAACCTTTGAAATAAAAAGAAAATCTTGAAAATTACGGGATTAAAGATACCTGCTTCATCCCTAATTGAAGAAAAACATGGATTTAAAACAACCATAAATAGGGGAAATTTCAACGGGAGAGGGAAACCAATGAGGAATCAAGAACAGAGAGAAAAAAACACTCATAAGGAGAGGGAATTTCTTATTTAAAAGAGAGAATTTTGTAAAAGGTTTCCATATTCTCTTCGACAGAAGCAATACCAAGCAGGAAACATCTAAGGTTGTCAATTTATTTTTCTATTATATTATATTTTATGTTTTTTTTTAATTTGAAATAATTTCAAGGTAAATACCTTATTGCTTCATTCCCTATTTTTATGTCTTTAAAAGATAACAATGATATATAAGCATAAGTAATGGTCAAAAACAGTAACAAAGAACCATAAACCATTCGAAGCAAACAAATAAATATTAATAGTGAATTTGTCATATTGAAACCAGTTTTATCAACTTTTAATCAGTTATATTGTCTTGTATCGATACATGTTTCATAGGTATCTATACTTCCTAGGTTCATCTAGTTTGGGAATTATACTGGACAAAAAAGTATTGATACATATACAAAATGTATCGATACTTTATGTAAACGTATTTCACCATTAAACTGATATATTTTTAAAGCTTACATGATTTATTTACCAATTACTTTAAAGTAATCGGTTTCGAAGTTTTAAGAATCGATATTTTTTATACGTGTATCGATACTTTATAGGCGCAATTATGAAAACCGGTTTTGTCAAAAAGATGAACATGTTATGTTATTTTAAAACCGATGCCATTACTCTTATAGAAGTATCGACACTTTTATGTACGATATCGATACTTTCGAGACGTTTCATTTTCTCAAAACTGGTAGCAATTTACCGTTTTTTGTTATATTGAAACTGGTTTTATCAATTTTTAACATATTATATTGTCATATATCGATATATGTGTAATTGGTATCGATACTTCCTACGTGCATCTTGTTTGGGAAGCATATTGGACAAAAAATATCGATACATATACAAAAAGTAGCGATACTTTATATAAACGTATTTTACCATTAAATTGATATATTTTTACATCTTACATTGTATATTTACCTATTAATTTAAAGTAATCAGTTTCAAAGTTATAAGACTCGATACTTTATAAGTTTAGTTATGGAAACTGGTTTTGTCAATTTTTTACTTGTTAAGTTATTTATATAGAAATCGGTTTTGTCAATTTTCAACCTGTTATATTGTCATGTATCGATACATGTTTCTTAGGTACCGATACTTTATAGGGGAAATTATAGAAACCGGTTGTGTCCATTTTCAATCTGTTATATTTAATCGATTGTTTAAAATTTTTACCGTTTTCTCAAATTTTAAACGATTTAGAAATTATAAGAATGGAAACTTTGTTGTGCAGATTATAGAAAACGATACTTTAATAATATGTATTGATACATTTGCATGCAGATATAAAATACATTAATAATTAGTATTGATATTTCAACAATCCTCAAATGTATCGGTATAGAGACGCAAATATGGATATAAAAGCCCGACCAATCAACCAACAATGATTCAAGATCAAAAGTCGTTATATATTCGGAGCAATCAACCTAAATGAAACGCGAGGGAAATCCCGACCATCATAATTTTAAGTAACAAGCAAGAAGATTGGATATGCAAAGAATGTATTCCGGATATTATCCATTTCATCCAGCTCATTAAGATAGGAAAGCCGTAAACCGAAACCGTCTGAGAGAAACATAGTTGATGTAGAAGCAGTTGCATATTTAAATTCTCGAAGGCGATCCATTTGGTTTTCAAACATTTAAAGCATCGGAAGCATTTCAAACTTGTTATTTCGTTGCTATACGGGAAAGGCAACAAAATGCATTAAAAAGTTCTCGAGAATTAAACTCTAGATCTTTTAATAATAATGTTAAATACTGGAAGATACATACGTAAATCATAAGTACCAGTACTTGGAATTTCAAAACCTATTACTTTAAAGTAATAGGTAAATTAACAATGTCAACGGATAAAAGTGCTCTGATATAATGAAAATAGTCGTAAATGGCAAGTTGAGACGCTTGTCATGTACGCTTAGTATAATTGCACTGGTAGAATTTTACCGTTTACATTGTTAATTTAGCTAAGTATCGATACTTTATACACGTATACCCTTCAATTATTTTTATTATTATTACAAGTTATAGCCCTCAATTATCGGGATTTTTAGTTGCCATTTGTTTCATTTCCCGTATACCATCCAGATCATACGTCTGAATCGTTTCTGACGCTTTAACTGTTTAAGAACCAAATGCATCACCGTCGAGATTTTAAATCTACAGCTGCTTCTACATCAAGTATGTTTCGCTCTGACGGTTTTGATTTAAGGTTTATCTATCTCAATAAGCTGACTGAAATGGATAATATCTGAAAGGCATTCTTTGAATATCCAATCTTCCTGCTTGTTACTCAAAATTATGATGGTCGTGATTTCCCTCGCGTTTCAAGTTGGGAAAAAATAATGGAAATTAGGAATAACCAATGATAACATGAAAATTGTCTAAGTTAATAAGTATTGAAAAAGGTTGTTGTTACCTTAGAAATGGAATTTGTTGTTACCTCCCGATGCTTCCATTGAGTAAATTGTTGTTTGGATGGAACAAAGGCTTCGACTCATATTTATAGTGGAGCCGAAATTTATATTGAAATTCAAACTCAAATTGAAATTGAAATTTAAACTCCAATTAAAAATGAAATGAACATGAAATGTTGTGTAATTTGAACATGGAAATTACATAATTGATTGATACTATTCAAGTAACATGCATTATGAACCATCAAGTCGGTAAAAGACAAGATTGCTTCAATTCAAAGTTGAGTTGTGAGTTGATGGGGTTGTCACACTTGTCACATGGGAATAAAGTACGGGTTGTCACACTTGTCACATGGGAATAAAGTACTCACATGGGAATAAAGACAAGATAGATTGTTATCATTGCACGACCCATCCGAATGGAATATTTACTGTGTAAGTCACATGTTATACTATGGAATATTAAAATACACAATTAATGTGTTATATGTTTTAGTATATTTAAATTGAAAATAGTGCATTATGTGTATTATGTGAGTCGAATGAAAATATACACACAATATAAGTAAACCAAACATACATACACAACAATTTTATACATAACAATGTTCAAATAATCTACCCAAAACGAAATTAATCTGACAACAATGAGTTATTTCTAACGAAGTCTGGAACATTAGGCGCATTCCACAAATTTTCCAAATACTCTCGTATGTTACTGTCTTTTTCTAAGGACATATATAAATAATTTCAATTATCAAACTAATCAGGTGCAATTTTACTAAAAAGAAACTAAATCCGTATAAGCAGGAATAAATTTGTGTCATACCTAAAGCATTGTCCTCCGAATAGGAAGCGTCAAAGGGATGTGGATATATATAATTGTATTGCTATATAAAAACGTAAATTATTAATCAACAAATGTATGAACATCTATTTAACTGGAAAAACATATGACATAAATGTAACTTAAAAGTTCAGCAAAGTTTAATGACGTTTACCTTACCCAAATGAATAAAAACTGGCCAGACAACAAAGGTAGTTTCTGCAGTACACGGTCGATGTTTCGAATATTAACATCTAATTGTATATTAACGATTTTGTTTATAGTAATTCAATTTCCTAATAGTGCTAACCTCATCTTGGAAGACCAAATGACAACAAAAAAATTTCTAAACAAAAATGTAAAAATTCATATACTCTTTGTCTCAGGATAACATCTATGACATGAAAAAAATGAGATTAAAGTTATACGCTTATATGTTAAAAAAATATATACAAATGAACAAAATTAAAACCTTTTGGATTTCTTGAGATGTAGGCAAGGAAACCATTGACATCAAATATTACAAGTTTTCTTATTGGCGGTATTGTAGACACGATATACTTGTTTGAATCTTCATCTTCATCATAATCATCTATAATGTCGTCATCTTCATTTAGCGCTTGGTTGTCCACCGCTGTTAAAAGAAAATCAAATACATTTTACAATGTGTAAATGTTTAGAAACATAAATAATTAATTACCTAACTCGTTAGATGTCGTTGACATAATTCGTTACGCAAGATGGAGACTTCATCGCGCAATGATGCAATATCGGCTCACATTTCGCTCACAAGAGAATCAATATGCTCCCAAAAACTGACCATGTATTCCATCACTGTCTTAATTGTGACATACTCTCCACCTGGAGCGTCTTCCATCATTGTGTCTCCCATCGGTTGGTCGTCTTCATGGCCAATGGGGTCCATTTGCTCCTTCTCTTGTTCTAATCCAACGATATCCTTGAAAAGCTTCCAACCGACATTTTCAACAAAATCGTATCCCGCTCTAGTCATTAATCACATGTCAATCTTGCGGGTTAATCGAACAGGGGAGTCAAGTGAAAAATCAACTTCATGCTTCTTCAATAGATAAGTGATGACACATCCATATGGTATTGAAATCGATGCTCCCTTTTGTGACTATATAAAAAATTGTCTTAAATATTAGTTTAGCAATGTTTGGAGCCGTTTTGGATCTCTACTTTGCTAACCACCAATAATCGTAGTCTCAAATCAGTGAAACATTTTCCCCCAGAAGGCCGAATAAACCAAATGAGCATTTTGTGAAACATTCTCGACTCTACATCTAGGAGAATTGGGTTATTTCTCTCAGCACATTGTATTGTAGTACCTAAATCATTTTCATCTGAACCCTCTTTATTCTCGACACCTATACCCACAACAATAGAATCCGAAGATATATATTTATATCCTTCCCCATGACATGCGTATTAATTCCTATTATATTATTCTTATTAGGCTCACGCTCGAAAGAAGCATTATTGTAGTAAAGTCTAACTAGGTTGGGGAAATATTTTGGTTCTACACCAAGGAATTCAAGCCAACCCCAAGAAGTAAATATAGATTTAAAACTAAAATCATATTTCTCATCGAACATGAAATCCATGTCAATAACACGTTCAAGACAAATCATCCTTACTTTGAAATTTCGATGCCATTTTTTTCTCCTTATTGGTTCTAAAGTTGTGAGTATCGAACGACCTAATTTGGTCAAAAGAAGAGATTGATTGAGAAGGTTGTCATTGAGAAGAAGGTTGTCATTGAGAAGAACTTGGTTGAGAAGAAGGTTGTTATTGAGAAGAACTTGGTTGAGAAGAAGGTTGTCATTTAAAAGACCTTCGCCTCTAACGTTTTAGAGCTATTTGGGCGTGGATGTTGTTATATTGGAACACAAAGGCATTAAGGAAAAAAAGAGTCCAATTCGTAAATCAATCAAACCCTAATTTATGACAAAATATCGATAAATTTACCTAAAGATCTAGTCGTAATTGTCATGAATACTAGTGTCGACACTAACTTTTCGTCCCATCTTTTAATACATTATTATTATTATTATTATTATTATTATTATTAATGGTACATATTATATTTTATAGGCCCAAGACCCTGTTACAAATATCAACCCAATTACAAGATGTTGGTTCAAGCCCAAGTGTGACCCGGTTCAGTGACCCGACTTACTGAATTTAGGATTTGCTAAAATCCTAATCCTAAAGCAAATTGCCACTGTCATCCACGCATGCCTCCCACTGCAGTGCCAAGCCAACATAGAGCCATCACCAAATACTTCTAGAAGCTGTCATCATCTTGCCATCTCAGCAAATGTGACTGGATCAAAACCAAAGTCAGCAAAAACTTTATAAGTTTACCAAAACCTTTGAAATAAAAAGAAAATCCCGAAAATTACGGGATTAAAGATACCTGCTTCAGCACTAATTGAAGAAAAAGATGGATTTGAAACAACCATAAATAAGGGAAATTTCAACGGGAGAGGGAAACCAATGAGGAATCAAGAACAGAGAGAGAAAAAAACACTCATAAGGAGAGGGAATTTCTTATTTAAAAGAGAGAATTTTGTAAAAGGTTTCCATATTCTCTTCGACAGAAGCAATACCAAACAGGAAACATCTAAGGTTGTCAATTTATTTTTCTATTATATTATATTTTATGTTTTTTTAATTTGAAATAATTTCAAGGTAAATACGTTATTGCTTCATTACCTATTTATATGTCTTTAAAAGACAGCAATGATATATAAGCATAAGTAATGGTCAAAAACAGTAACAAAGAACCATAAACCATTCGAAGCAAACAAATAAATATTAATAGTGATTTTTTCTTCTTCTCTTTCCAAGTTTCTTTTTATTTTGTAAAGAATACAGGTAATAATAAAAAGAGGGATTTGAGTTAATTTACATGCGTTGTGCAAGTTTCAGTGGAGTCTCGTTGACTCCATCACCGTTCGGGTTCTGGTTCAGGTTCTGTCATTAGAGAGGAAGAATTGATGTTATTCTTAGTAATTTTTTTTTTCGAAACGAAAAAGAGTGAGATAAGATCGACAAATAGATCACATAGTAACATTAGCAAAACAATGAACCATATATTAGAAATAAAAAAATAAAGTAGCATAGAGAACTTACCTTTCCATCCGAGAGAGCACCATCACCATCCAAAAACAGTGAGCATCCTAAAATCATAATCAAACTAAAACAGAATAATAATACGGAAAAATAGGAAAGTAATAATATTGTTACTTGGACTTGTTGAATCCTTATCCTCGTCGGTACAACGTTGCCGGAGCTGGGTTAAAGGCCGAAGCGTTGGGGGTCCTTTGGAAGGCTTGCATGTATATTGTGAGGGTTAATCTTCAGATCGGGTTTTTTAAAAAATAAAACAAGTAAGAGTAAAAAGAAATATAATTTATCTTAGGAAATTTTCGCCGGAGAGGAGAGTAGAATCGAAACCTTACCTTTTCATCAACGGTCGAGGCAGTCTTCGTGTAAGCCAAATCCTCTAAAGCCGAAGGTAACCGTCAAGAACCCTTAGATCTAGAAGAGGTGAAGTTTTTCAAGGTTGTTTAGGTTTCGTTTTAAAGGTTGGAGAGTAGAGAAGCTTTGTTTGGGACCATTTTCTCTGGTACGTTATAAAAGCCGGTTATGGGGTTACTTTACCCTTTCCTTTGTATTATAAGAAAAGAGAGTGAAGGAGAGAGTTGAAGAGAGGGTAAGTGGCGCAGGAGTGTTCACAAATAAATTAGGGCCAATTGTCTTTTAAAATAATATATATTTTAAACCTTAAAAGAATGCATCGTATGGGTATGTTTAAGAAATACCCAATTCACGCATAGGTTATATCTTTGATGAGCCATTCGAATTTTATGTTTCATGCGTTTTGGTCCCTAAATCGAATGTTTCCTTGTTTTCAATTTTGCATCTTTATTTTATGTATTTTTTAATTACGACCCCTAATGATGTGTTATTTAATTTTTTCTTTGTTTAGACATTAGACCCTTAGGTTTTTTCATGTTACATTTTGGTTATGGGTATGTTTGGGTTTATTATATTTTTAGTCCCTTATATTAGTCATAATTTTATTTTAGTTTTAGTAATTGAAACAGTGAAATGTTGTTTTTTCATTTCAAGTGTTATTATTTTTGTAGTTAAAATGGTAAGTTTATATTCTTTATCATTTAATACCTAGTTTAAATAGTTTACTTAGTTTTTTAACTTTGCTTTTTTAAGTGTTATATTTCCTTTTATTTATTTTAGTAACATTGGTGTATTATATATTAATATATATGGTATAATGTGTGGAAATAAAATATGTATATAATTGTTGGTAGTAAAATAATATTGCACGTTATTTTAATCATAATATTTGTTTAATTAATTTTTACATGAATTGTATTAACACTAAGGGTAATAATCGATCATTTTAAAATTATCAAAAGAAAATTTCTAATACGTGAATATTTAATCCATTTTAAAATATATCATTAAGTATTAATATTATAAGTTACATTTTAAATTTGAACTCTTAGGTTCCTTAATTTTCATAATTTGACACTTTAAGTTAAGAAATGCCTTAATTTACTTTTAGTTTAATTAAGACAAATAAAATTTTGTTTGATTGCATTGTTTTTACAAATCTAAGACATTGTTCACTTATTAAGGAATTAATAGTATATCTCCCGCGATCGTGCTCAGGGGGTGAATACTGGTAATTCCTTGAATAAGTCGACATCTTTTTCAAAACCACATCATATTTTCTAAAAATGAGGCAATATTCGGTTATTAGGCACAATAGCTCATCTCCCGCATTTACGCTCGGGGGTGAATGCTATCGGTCTCGATAAACGAATACCCTTTTTAACTTTACATCCTTAATGATTTTAAATTAAATAAATATCGAACACCAAATTTCTGATTTTAAATATATGGTAAACAACTGGGTACCAATTTTTGGGTGCTTGTGGGGGTGCTAATCCTTCCCCACGCGTAACCGACTTCCGAACCTGATTTATGGATTTTCGCAGACCTTCAAACCCGATATTTTGATAAAAACAAAAATGTTTTATTAAAAGCATCCGATTTTTATGGTGTTCCAATCTCACCTTAAATGATTGGTGGCGACTCTTCACCTTTCAAAATAATTTTTAAAGAGAAAACCCCTGAGTCGGTATCGGTCTTTTTCCCTCCGGGCGAAAAACAGTTACGACAACTTGGCGACTTCGCTGAGGACTTTTGCTTTTTTAAACAAATTGAGAGTCGAGCCACGAGTTGGGTACCCTATATTTATGGTTTTGGAAATTTTGAGTTCGATCTTGTTTAATTTACGACTCATTATGTTATTTCAAAAAAAAAAGTTTCCTCTCTGGTTAATGCTTACATTTTCGTGAATATTTAGGACTGTTGCATATCATAAGCTCTAACCCGAGCTCAAACTCAGTTTACCTAAGTAGGGAGAAACGTCACACCTCACGAGGAGCATTGGGCTTCCTTGTGTGGGTCTGACAAAGTATCTCTGGAAAGTACCCTAAGTTGCCTATCCGAATATTAGTTCTGAGGTACGCTTTTAGTGGTGTGATCCCCTGAGCTGAACTCGATTCACAAGTCTATAATGGGCCAGAATAGGGGGCAACCTTAACAGGTTGTAAAAATGGCTTAGAAACCCTTTGCTAGAACCCAACCTCATATAAAGAATTTAGTAAGCCTACCCCGTTAAAGCCATGCGAATAACTTAGAAGAACTAGGTCGCATGATGTTAAGATTTTTAATTTTCTTTGATTATTTGGCATTCGATACTTTAAATTTTTACTTATTCTTTGATTTTTTTATTCTAATATCACTAACTTATTGCTTTATTTCCTGATTGCATGTATCATTATCATATCATATCATTTCATAAACGGTATTGATTCCCAGATCACCTAGTTATTCTAAAAAAGCTTAAGGCAACAATGTCTTCTGATGGGACTGAGAATGCAATCAATGTTCAGACCTGGTCTGAATACAAACAGACACGGTTCGGGGACAACCTTGTCACTACCGAAGCTTTAGTTTTTCTAGAAAATGTGATTATTTGAGTCAAGCAGGCACACTGGGCTGAGTTATCAAGAATTTGGTCCACCTGGGATGATAATGAGAAGATACTATTTAGAGGGATATACGGCGACATCGTAGAGTTACTGAGAGTATCAATAGATTCAGTGGTGGTTCGAGCCCTTGCTGAGTGTTGGAATCCAACTTACATGTGTTTCACTTTTGGTAAAGTAGACATGACCCCTACCTTAGAGGAGTATACAGCTTTGCTGAACATCCCAAATGTTAGAAGTCATTCTATTTAGACCAAGGAAATTCAACCTAAGGGGTTCATAACCAAGATGATCACGCTGACGAGAAAGACTAAGGAGTGGGTCGAAGAGTACATTCGTGATGAGGGGATCTCCTGGGCTCAGCTGAAAAGTTTAATTTACGAGCAAACTCCATCAAAAAGAGGAAGAGATCACTTCGCCCTTGCGATATATGGTTTAGTAATTTTTCCCAGGAACGAGGATCACTTTAACATCACCTTAATCGATTTCGTCGAAGCTATCGCTAGAAAGAATCCCGCACCAGCCATCCTTGCAGAAACATTCTTGTCACTGAACCAGTGTAGACGATTAGGGGGAGGTCAGTTCACCGGATGTGCCTCACTGTTACTAGTTTGGTGGTGGAGCCACTCCTGGATAGTCGAGAAAGGCTGGGCTCGGAGACATCAATCAAATTTTTCACCTCTAGTGGATTTCCTTGACAAATGCCAAATCCCAGAGCATCGCAAGAGGAAAGACTGGTTTGAAGCTTTCCGTAACATGAAAGATACTAAGATAGTATGGAAGGCTTATTGGTTACCCAAAGAAGACATACTTTTCAGGTGCGGTAACTATAGTTTTGTAATGCTGCACAGATTATGGGGAGCGATCGGGTATACTCTGTTAATTGTACTCAGACAGTTCGATACCCGACAGTTCGTACCAGCTACTCATGGCCTGAAGAAGACGGAGTTTTCTTTCTCTACTCCGGGTTATCAAGAGCGGATTTCAAAGATCTATGCAGCTTGGCAGAAGCCTCAACGCATGAGCTTCAAGATGATAGAGCATGTATTCACGTCGGCCTATGAGGTTTGGAGGTCGTAGAGAATTAACAACAACACACCTAAGCCAAATTTAGAGGACAAGTTGACTATGGAGGAGCAATTGAGAAGGCTCCCGACAGAAGCTGAGTTATTAAAAGAGGAAATGCGACTGATGAATTTAGAGAGAGAAAAAGAACAGAGAAACTTCTCGGATAAGAAGACAATATGGGAACTCGAAATGATTAAGAAGGACAGAGTGATCAAACAATTGGCCAAAGGAAAGAGAAGGTCCAGGAGAATTTTGATGCACTAAACCAAGATTTTCGGGCCTTAGAGAAGAATATGAGAGCCCAAGGTCTATATACTGCCAAGACCCTAAGGATAAAACTCGATAGGGTAGAAAGAAGCACAAAAAGAGGCCAAGAAGAAAAGAAACGAGCCATACAACATTCTCGGAAATTGAGAGAGCAAAGAGATGAGGCCAACCAGGAATTATCACAAAGGCGAGCATAGATTGAACAGCTCGAAGCACAACTGCTTAGTATCAATGAAACTTTTCAAAACCCTTACAACAGTTTTCAAAAAGAAAACGAGATGTTAAAGAAGAAAATGGCAGAGCTAGGAGTAGTGTTGATCCACTCATCCGCACAAGAGGAAACCATGCAAGAAAATGAGGCCTTAAGAGCGAAGATTGCTGAGTTAGAAGTCTTAGTGTATGGATGCCATCAACAAATCCAACATCTAGAAGAGAGCCGACCATTAACTAATCGAGAGCTTGGAATTGCTCTAAGGCAGGCTCAGGACATCATTCAAAGGCAACATAAAGCAATAGAGAGAGCAATGGATCAGGCCCGCGATGTAGCTCGCCAAGTCTACGAGTTATCTGAAGAAGCGGCAGCTTTAAGAATTTTTGTGATCATGGCATTGATGATAGAGCTCGAGAGATTAAGAAATAGGGCAAGATTCTATGTTTAGTATTCATATCGATATAATCTCTTTGCCTAAGTTCTTAGACGTTGTGTGTTGTTGAGTACTTTTTATATAAACTAAGTTATTTTGGAATCAATATCGAGTTGCATTTGCATTTTCATATGTTTTTTTTTCTAAATTTTCAAAATCTTAATGATTACATTATAACAATTAATTCATTAAAATTCAACAAATAATAAAATACAATTTCCAATCATTTGTAGTTATCCTGGCATACACCTCACACCATACGGTACTCAGTCAACAAAGAAAATGGAAGACAAGATCGTCCAAATTGAAAAAACTCAGCTTGGCATCCAAGAGATCTTTAAGAAAGTTTAGGAGGAGATGTGTGAACAAATGATAAAATCCCAGTATGATTTGATGGAGAAATTTGCAAGCATGTTACAAGGAAGAAATATTGAACGAGAAGATACCCCAATTGTCGGTGCTACTATCGAAGAACCTTTGTATCCCCCGAGTTTTGTACCACAAGTGGATCGTGGAAAAGCTTCAACTATTGGTAGTACAGCTCCAACTATTGGTATTACATCTGAAGAACCCTATACCCCCATGCTTTACACCACCTCATGTTAAAGGACAACAAAGAGGAACTGTACAATCAGAAAGAATACAAGTAAACCTACCTGGCTCTTCTTTAAACCCGCAACCAATTGAAGACGTCCCTGATTTGGATGAGAAAGACAAAAACGAACATGATAAAGAGCTCAAGAAAGAATGGGAACAAATAAAGCATGAATTCCGAGCTATGAAAGAAGATGCCAGCTTATATGGAATCGATGCTAGAGAACTAAGCTTGGTCATTGATTTAGTGTTGCCACCGAAGTTCAAAGTTCCAGATTTCGAGAAATTTGATGGCACCAGTTGTCCATCTAAACATATTACCATGTTTTGCAGAAAAATGACAGGCTATGCGAGAGATGATCAGCTATTAATTCATTGTTTTCAAGAAAGCCTGGCAGGCTCAACAATCCGTTGGTACAATCAGCTAAGTCGGGCTCAGATTAAATCATGGAAGGATTTGGC